GTGTGACGGATCCGGGTGGGACCCCAGCACTGCTGACCCATGGCTGGGTGCCAGAAGCCTGCATCTCCCACTATGTAGGATGCTGACATGGGCAGAAGCCCCCTCAGAGGAGCCCACCAACAGGATAGGGCCTTCTGTAAAGGCTCTGAAGCAAAATCAACAGAGTGCGTCTGCTGGCTGTTTACAATGGCCCACGTGCTGGTATTCTCCAGGAGAACATTTTTCTGGGTAAACAAGATGCACCAGCATCTGGAATGACGTCCAGGTGAAAAGCCTGGAGCCAAGGGAGTCATTCCAGTGCTTGGGGCATGCGGGGCTGCTCCAGCTCCCTGCTTTGACATGGCAGAGGGAGAAGGAGGTGGTCAGCAAGGATGACTTCCAGATCAAAAGAGAAAGGAAGGAAGACGAGAAAGTCCTGCCATGGGTGTTTTCTTCAGCTTCATCCCCAAAGGCCCAGGAAGGCAGGGGAAGCTTCACCTGGCTGACCAAAGTATTCAGGTTTTGGTTTCACTCAGGGGAAATATTTTTTTAAAGGTTTAATTATCAGTTGCTGAAAACTGAAATGTCTTTGGTTTTACAATAAGAAAACAAACAGAAAACTTGAATATAGGGACTCCTCCCAGAAAACCTCTGCTTTAAAAACACCCTGTTGTTTCTAACAAACCCTCTTTCTGCTGTAAACCTTCAAGCCTGGTGTGGTCTGAAGGTGCTTCTGTCCCCACAGAGAGGAGGAACACAGAGAATTTAATTACTAAAGCAGGATAAAACAACACCCGCCAGCCCAAAGTGGTTCAGCACATCACCCCCATCACCTTAAACATGGACCCAGTCACAAAAGACTTAAAACATCCTATAAAACTGAAGACATGTGACCAGCCAAACCAGTCGCTGGAGCATTCCTTGGTCCCCAAGCCCAGCAGAAGCTCCCAATGCTCAACCTGGGGGATGCAGATGGATAATGAGATCCTGGGGACTACAGGGCCTGTATTCAAACAGATCCTAAACTAATGGTGCAAAACCTCTATGCATGAACCCTCAGGCTGTGGACAAAGGGACCCTGAGGGGTGCTGGTGGTGAGGCTGGTGTGGGGATGCAGGAATGGCAGCCTGCACAGGCTGCCCGGGCTCTCACATGGCAATGGGAATCTGCTTGCCTGGGAGATCAATCCCCGACAGCTTCACTGAGGGCTCTGACGGACATTTATAGCCCTCTGAGTCATTACCGGCCTTGTTTAAACCAGTTATACCTGGCCAAGACCTTGAAAATAGCTTCATTTATACTGAACGGCTCCTCTCGCTCTTGGTGGGTATAAATAGCAGGGCCGAACCGCTTGTCCAGCACCACAGCTCCTCTTCGGAGCAGGCTTTGCTCCGAGCCCCTGTGTCACCCCCCTGCTGCCTCAACCCCGTCCTGCTGTTGCTCCCAGGGGACCCCATCTCCCCGGGTGCCCCATCCAGAGCCATCAGCTCGTGGGAACGAGGTGTCCCTGGCAAAGCCACTGGCAAAACAGCCAGAGCGGAGATTTCTGCTCTGAAAAAAAAACACCACAGCAGCTTTGCCTGGGACTCAGACCCTGTCTGTGAGTCTGCGGTTCCTTGACCACTAATAGTAGCCCAGGATCACCCCATAAATCTGCTCGGGGTCTGGCCGCACAAGCCCATTTCTGTGCCACGAGCCAGCCCAGGGCTGTCGGGACATCCGCACCCCTTGGGCACAGCCAGGTTATGGCAAGCTTTTCGGTCCAGGATGGGCACCCCATCCCAGGGGCACCCGCCTTGGCCAGCAACATCCATCACTAGAGCTAAGGGTTGCTGCCACCTGCAATGATATTTAAATTCCACCCCATTCATTTCCAGACAAAAAAAAATAAAACAAAAATTCATCTCGACCTGTGCTGTGCAGATCCAGGAAAGCTCTGACTGCCTGATCGGCTTAATTTTTGCCAAGCAAATGTTCACCTGGCTCAGGAAACCTTTCTTTCTGCTAAAAGAAAAAACAAAAACAAAAAGCTTTCAAATAAAAAAAAAACACACCACAATTCAAGGACAGGTTCTTAGCATCTGCTCTCAGACCCAAAAGTGGCTGCAAGGAGGCTGGGAGAAATGAGGGGGTTTGGGCAACAGCAGCCCAAGAGCTGAGGGTCCCAGGTGGGGTGTGGTGACCAAGCTGTGACACCCATCAGCACAGCTCGTCCCAGGGGCTGCCAAGTGCTGCCAAGACACTGTTTTACCCTAAAACTAAGCCAACGTTTCCTTACCTGAGATAAAACTGGCCTTCCTTGGGGCGACACCCCACCAAGGAGCAGACACTCAGCCAAGCCTGCAGCAGCCCGTTCTGTTTTGCCCCATCAGGCTGCTAAAGGGCATTTAAGCTGCTAAATAAAGTGCTTTTAGGCTGCTAAATAAAGTACATTTCCAAGGGAGAGCCGTTCCTGCAGCAGGGATGGAAAAGCTCTGCTGCAGGCGGCGGCTCCGGCTCTCTCCAAACATTTCTTCCCCACCTCACTCTGATCTTTTTTTTTCCTTTTTTTTTTTTTTTTTCTTTTCAGAGGAAACGCTGCCCAAATCAACACATGCCCCAGGAATGATTTTACATGGGGTCGGACAGCACTTTTCTGCTGGAAAAACTTCCAATCAGCTGCATTCACGAGGCAGGTTTATTTTTTTCACCGCTTTCTGAGTAGGTTTTGTTTCGGTGCCAGAGTAAAGACCTGTAGGCACATATTTCGAGCCCAACCTGTAACACCATCATCGTCACTGGGTTTCAATGAGCAGAAGGCTGTGAATGTAGGTCACATTCCCAGCCTGGGAAGGAGCTGGGACATCCCTTAATATCCCTGGAGCTTGTGATCCATGGGGAACCTGCCTCTCCTCCCCTGGCACACGATGCCGGGGTTTGAGCATCCCAAGCAGACGGGAAACCATCTCTCCCCACCCCAGGCAGCCACCGGGTGTTTTGCAGTCTCTAGAGCCCCGCTCTAAGGGGAGAGGGGGCACGGCAAGGGTGGAACAAACTTAACCATAGCTTTTTAAAGCTCTCCCACCTTCGCCTCCTCTCTTCCTCTGGGTAGGTGTCGCGGCGGCGGCAGAACAAGACAGCTACAGAGGCTGCTGGAAGTTGTCAGGGCCAAATACACTGGGAGGCCTTTTTTTTCCTTGGAAAATATTTCCTTGCCCGCAGGCTGTGGTGACAGCAAACATTCCTTGTCGGGGCTGGCGTGGGGAGACATCACCCTGCAGTGCTGCTGGGGCACCCGGGGCTGCCACCTTTCTCCAGGGTGCAATGGGAATCTGCTGCTTCTCCCATGGGAGCTGTGGACAAAGGTCTTTTATGCTCTGAGGATTTGGGTTTGGTTCCTTTTAAAAGGCGAGATGAGAGCAACTCATGTGCACCCCCCGCCTGCGGGGTGAGCCGTTCCCTCCAGGACCTGATGTGTCACACACAGGGGTAAAAAAAAAAGATATTTTTGTTAAAGAAAAAAATAAAA